GGAGCTCTATTCACAAGCCTTTACCTCATAGCTGCTTTAACTCAGGTTAGTACCTCGTTTTGGTCAAACCATTGAGGGAGCAACACCTTCCGTCACATTCAAAATGTTTCACCGGTTCTTCAGGATTCTGAGAAACTGACTTTTGTATACGATTTTTGAGCTCCTTTGAATAAATGCAAAGGGTAGAAATGGGGGAAGTACTTGTAAATAGAAAAGTTAATGGTCATACGCTAGGCAAAACTGGTTTGAATCATATCGATTTGGTGTTACAAAGGTGTTCCGATGTAATGTAAAGAATGATATGGAACAAGAGATTGAGAATCATAAAATACTTGACTTGTAAGGGTACCGCTAGTGGATAAAGATAACATATGGAGTTGCACGTTTGATTCGGTCGAAGCATTCCATAGCGGTGCAGAGAGCTCTCAGCTGCATAGCCACCACCGACAGAGCGCACAAGTGCATTAAAGAATGGAATGAATATTTGCTGATTGAAAGGATGAAGGGAAGCAGATTGAAGTCAGACTATGAAGAAAACTGCGAGAGGATATTTCTTTATAAAATATGGAGATAGGAGATTGGAGTGAGAATGGTGTTTTAAATATTGACGCTGTTCCGCTTATGAGGGGCATTTTGCACTCTAGCTGCTTTGTTTTACTAGCTTGTTAATTTATACATCTCACCGAGATGCCACCTTTACAACTCTGTCGACTGTAAACGAAGGTCATGCTGTTGCATAGCTTCACAGTGATTTATAAGCGTTTATGGGAGACATCGACAGTTATCGAGGGAACCTTGTAAAATGTCTTCATCAGGCGGAACTATGCTCAAATTTCATTCATAATGTGGTAATATTATATAAAGGAGTGTCAGAAAGTCTAATTGCAAAAGACTTTTGTTTTGCAAAAGGCTCTGAAAATTCAAAAGGAAATCCTTTTGACTGTTCGGAGTTTTTTCATGACAACTTCTGGTACATTTTATGTTTTCACATTTTGTTTTTAACGAGACTCCGGAACAGCCCATTACTACAAAATTTTGTTCTTTCGTTTATTCATGATCGATCAATTGTTCTACTTTCCGTGTACCAATGCTATTCACATCTCGAACATTCATGAAAACCCTTGGAGACAAACCCCACGATTGCATATTCTGGGTAGTGGCGATCAGTAACGAACCTATAGTCGCTGAGTGACTTCCTTGGGAAGAAAGCGAAGAATTATTGACCCCTCTCCCACCCCCAAGTACCCCCTGCTAGCCTCATTGTTCGAGTTCTGCGGACCTGCTCGTTTTATGCCAGCAGAGCAGCGTGTAATGTCAGCGTCTCCGAATTACTGCCGTCCCCGGCCCACTAATGTTCTTTTTCCACGTGATTCAATGCTGGTACATCTAGTAGTAAAAAAACGAAAAAAGATGTAAAAACTGAACCATGTGATGAAATAGATCTTGAACTTTGGTGGGCGGGACAACTAGGGAGGTGTCGGATGCGCCACTTATGGGGACCACTGAGGACCAGCCTACTTAAAGGCAGTTGGCACGATGGTTCCTACTTAGCCAGGAAAACGAAAGAACGGAGTGAAACGGTCAAAATCCTGCGAAGAAAGAGCCTCCGTTCTCAATGTGTTAGAAATCAATTTTGGACGAGTTTCCCGTAGGCATCTTACCAATCACCGCTACCGAAGATACGGCTGCATATGTGTACCCATGTATGCATGCAGCATCACGGCCGCTTCATAATCCCTTCGCTTCATAATTTGCTTAGCAAATGAATGAATACGAGCGTCAGGAACGGTCGTCCATTTGTGGGCGGGCGGGCGTGGCGGGCGTTTGGGACGTAAAGTTGTGGCTTGATAGGGCCCTTATAAGGGCACCTTCCTCGGGGAAACCGCTATGCAGCGCCTGCCCAGGGTCGCGGAATTCTATCCTGCCAGGAGTATTGATCCTAGTCGCCTTGGGGGATTTATCGTGCCAACTGCCTTTAAGCAAGGAAGGAAGCCTACAAGTTGCAGCGCGAGGACAGTCTTTTTATGAGACTTGAAGGGCAGACTTTTCTTAGTATCCACTACTGATGCATTGTTTGAGTAAGTTTCAGGTTGTTATTCTTCTTTATATATGCCAATATATGGTTGCGTTGATGTGGACGTGGCGAATAAATCCTGACAATTCTGCTATACCATACCTCACTGCTCTTGGTGACGTGCTTGGAACTTTATTGCTATTTCTACTCTTCTTGTTTCTTGACGGTATTAATTCGAAAGAGATATTAGTAACTTGAGCATCATTAAAACCTCAGTAACTTTTTGGAAGGGAATAGGCATATCTTAGCATATTAATCAGTTAATCCAAATAAGTGTGTCCAATTTGTGGTAACCTGCATTTGCCCACTATTGTTGTGTTAACTTATGCAGAGATTTATGTCAGAATGTGTATATCCTCTCTCAAACGATTGAAACGCATTTTTTTTTGTAAATTACAATGATACTAGCATGAAATTTTAACCTAGTCTTAAAAATTATCTTCATGTATATAAAAGCATAATGTCAATGTTGTGATGCTCTTTATTTATTGGTGACACTAATTTCCACGGGATAATAAAGGTGATTGCGTTCTACTGTTGTGTTTTCTTGTCTATTACCAGGCAATGCCAGGGATTTGTTCCCGAACTTTTGCTCTCGTTCTGAAAAATACGAACTTTCAGGCTTACGATCTCATCCATTAAGCTGGATGAGCATCACGGACCGTTCAGTTTTCACTTTACTTATCCATATCCTTGTTTTCGGCGGTATGGTCAAGCTTGGAGACCGAGTGAGCATTGGTGGTTATGGTGCTATCGTGAGATACATTGGCGACGTTACTGGTCACCCTGGAACTTGGGTTGGAGTCGAATGGGACGATCCAGATCGTGGAAAACACAATGGTACCGTAAATGGTATTCAGTACTTTGAGACGAGGTGCGCAGACGTTTTTTTTCTGCTTTTGAGAACCCTAGCTTTCTTTCCCATTTCTGGGGTCTCACAAGGTGAGCATAGTTCTACCCGTGGTTTGCTTATATCCTGCCGGGTACGGTTAACGAGTCGCAGTGAGTGCTCGGATCGAGAAGGGTATACTTTTTGGATGTTGGGAGCAGGATACAGCATCGAATTGAAATGGCAGTGTCAGTAAGACCCCCTCCAAAAATTTTCCCGCTAGAAATAGGGGCGGAGGTGGTGTATTTGCAAAGGACACGCTTGTCACGGGTCTGAGGGTCAAATCACGGATCGGCTCCCGCCCAGGCCAACCAAACCTTCTACCCTTCAGGGACGGTAAATTGGTACCAGATTCGTCTGGGAGGATAAGAACACTGGCTTAAACATCGCCTAACCCGGAAGTCATTAAATGGGCCACACGGCATTGAACGAGCCACTATGATTGCGAACAGAAGTTAAATGCATCCCACATCTAGCAAAAGTATTGACAACGACGAAGACTATTTCTTCCAAAAGAAATAGTAGTTGTGTTCCAGTAGGGAGTAACCAGTCGGCTCGCCGGCTGATGCCAGCGCGTCCTTCGCGATACGGCCCGCTTTAGCCGCGGCCAGCGCTGCAGCTTTTGCCGGCGACGTATTTTTTTTACATGTTTTACTGCTGGACTAATATGCACGCACGCACACCCAGACATACTTAGTGGATTATATGTATTGGGTTGGACCGTAAGGGATGGCATTTTTCTCCCACACGAATTTTTATATAGAAAATAGCAAGTGTTCTCAATTTGTTTTACACTGTTCGATAGATAATTTTTTGCTCTACACGGAAGTGTGATTGCCTTCCTACTATTTCTTGGTTTCTGCTGATTTTTATTTTATTGAAGTGGAATGTCGAGTCGACACAAAGGTAAATTTTCGACAACTTTTTGCACTTTATCTCGGGTCTCAAATTACAGAAGAAGCGTGAAACTTGTGATGTATATGACCAAAGGAAGATGCGTCTTACGACAGCTTGAAGTTGGTTCAAGCGATCAAGAAATGGGAATTCGGACCTTGTAAAAGAGCATCCCGTGGGAGTCCTTCTTGGGGAGGGACTGCCTGCGGAACCCCCACTAATTTTCAAACTTCTGACATCAACTGTGGGTGATGGTTTATAATGATTAGGAAACATTCCATGACCTGAATGATTCCTCAATCTTTGGCATGAATCTCCGTGAATGAGGTAATTCCGTAAGCTCTCAGTTGGACAAATAGGGCATTAGGTTCGATGCTTGTCTGTGAGGTCGAAACTGAAATCTTCGAATCACTCAAAGTATTATTAGCATTCCTAAGAGACATAGCCTTCCGGCCATATACTCAGCATATGCGTGCGCCGTTTTAGCTTTTCGGTTGGAGATAAAAAAAGCGAGGCTGTCGAAAATGCTCGATTTCGTCGACCTGACACTCCAGTTTGAGCACTTAAATATTAGTGGAAAGAAAACTTCAAGAAAACTAAGAAGACTGTCGTATAGGGCAAGGAATTCTCTACAAAACATTATTAAACTCAGTGGCAAAACTTCTCATCTTCAGCGCGATATTTCGAATGAGAAAAAAACGCCATTAGTCATGAGCGAGACAATAGCAGGATACTTGCGATGAAGCGAAATTACAGTGGTTGCGCGAAAATAGTTTGGCCTTGCTTTGGCCTCATATCTCTCAAAATGATTTGAGGCCAAAGGCTCGACATGTTTATTTAGCTATTCATCTTTATTCAAGCACTTTTCGCGACTGGTTTCCCCTGTTAACCGCTCTTTCTGTCGAAGACGTTGTCAGAAAATCATAAATCTGATAAAATTTGAGTTACATGAATCAAAGCGTTAAATTCAAAGAGTTACATAGAAATTTATTCGAGAGAAGTGCTCACGGTATCTGGCTATATTAACCTTGGCAGGTAGCAGGAAAGAGTCATATTTCTTGCTTTCGCTAAGGATGCACTGCTGCGGCAAACAATTCGCCACCATCCTCTTACAGGTTTGCGAAGGGAGGATCTCTTGTCAATCTTCAAAATGTGAGTCCTGGAGTGGATCTGCTATCCGCAATTCTGAATCGCTATGCGGACGATGTTGATGAAAACGTCTACATGCTTAGCACCAAACCTGTCGAATTAGTTGGCATGCAGTCAACATCGAAAAAGCAGAGGTATGCGGATCAGCTTTTGTTCCAAATCCTCCCCTAAACCACTTTTTGTAGCACTTTGGCACTATTTTTCCTCCGGCTCCGGAAATTCGAAATTTTCGCTGAATTCGCCTATAGCCACGATCACTTCCACCGATTTGGTAGTAATTGAGAGTCATGATTAAGTAAACGAGCAGAGCGCTAGTTTAGCAGAGGCAGGAGTGATAGTTGCCCAGGGCATAGGCTTAGCACAGTGTAGAAGATCTGAAAAGGCTAGCCTCTCTGCTGTAATTGGCCCCTGACCATTACACCAACCATTGCTCGGCTCTATCGCCTTGGAGTCGGACTGGTGCTAGCGTTGGGGTATCCGAAGAAACTAGATGGCGCCCTGTCTAATCAGCGCTTTTTACGGTGAGGTTAAGCCGTGGGAACGGGTCACTCCTTCCACCGGGTTCAGCCCAGGCAGGGCGCGTAGTCGCACTGGCGTTGGGGAATGCGTCTTCGTATTCAGAACCCTCGCTTTCCCATGAACGGAGATTTATCGCGAATTTCATCTAAGTGATCGTGGTGCCACATTTCTTCAGGGCCGGAACTTGACGTCAAATTGTTGATCAGGCTGGGCTAATGCCGTTTGAACGCGCTGACTTTCGGTTGCCGGCTCATCTTTGGAGTGCCCAGATCATTCAATCGGCTGAAAACTTGCATATAGGGGTAACCTAACATCCTAATCACAAATATGACTCATCCATTCCTTTTCCTCCATTAGCGCCAACGCCAGGAATGTCATAATCGTTAGCAGGATGTTAGATTACCTCTATATACAAGTTTTCAGCGGATTTGGTGATTTAGGCACTTTAAAAATGAGCTCGCAGCCGAAAGTCAGTGCGTCCGGACGGCATTAGCCATCAGGCTGCCAAATAACCCTGCCACCCAATTTTGTCCCGATTTTCTTGAGATCAGTTACCTCTAGTGGCGCCAAGAGGTACCTGCGTCAAAAAAGATGTCGCATTCGTGATCAGGGTATGAAATAGCGCGTAAAAGCGTAAAGCCGTAATTCCAGCGGAGAATTTCAATTTTCTGGAATCGAAATGGTTGGATAGTGCCAACACTTCGCATTTACACTGTTTTCAGCAATATTTTCGAATTGAAGCACATTGTACTGGAAAGCTGTTCTGTCGTGGAGCCACCTCCCGACACTTGCGAACCCTTTCGAAAATGTCTTTCTCTGAACCTCTTCAACAATCTGCTCTCGCGATGGGAGGATATTCGGAAAATTCTGAAATATTTTCCAAAACTTCGCGAACTTGTGCTCAGGTACTTTATCGTTTTCAAAACATCGTGTTGGGGGAGGGGATCGTTTCGGACTCGTTCCTGACACTGCAGTACCATTATTAGCTCCCACTTATATTCGCTCTAACAACGACTCACTGATTACCGGGCAGCTTGCTGTTGCGGAGCACAGGGATGGAGTGAGGAGGCTCTGATGGGACGTAGGAATCTATACCGATGGCGCGGTCCAGAGGATCAAATCTTCGGTCATATTCTCTGTCCACAAGTATAATAGTGCTTCTACTTTGGAGTGCCCAGATCATTCAATCGGCTGAAAACTTGCATATAGGGGTAACCTAACATCCTAATCACAAATATGACTCATCCATTCCTTTTCCTCCATTAGCGCCAACGCCAGGAATGTCATAATCGTTAGCAGGATGTTAGATTACCTCTATATACAAGTTTTCAGCGGATTTGGTGATTTAGCACTTTAAAAATGAGCTCGCAGCCGAAAGTCAGTGCGTCCGGACGGCATTAGCCATCAGGCTGCCAAATAACCCTGCCACCCAATTTTGTCCCGATTTTCTTGAGATCAGTTACCTCTAGTGGCGCCAAGAGGTACCTGCGTCAAAAAAGATGTCGCATTCGTGATCAGGGTATGAAATAGCGCGTAAAAGCGTAAAGCCGTAATTCCAGCGGAGAATTTCAATTTTCTGGAATCGAAATGGTTGGATAGTGCCAACACTTCGCATTTACACTGTTTTCAGCAATATTTTCGAATTGAAGCACATTGTACTGGAAAGCTGTTCTGTCGTGGAGCCACCTCCCGACACTTGCGAACCCTTTCGAAAATGTCTTTCTCTGAACCTCTTCAACAATCTGCTCTCGCGATGGGAGGATATTCGGAAAATTCTGAAATATTTTCCAAAACTTCGCGAACTTGTGCTCAGGTACTTTATCGTTTTCAAAACATCGTGTTGGGGGGGGTCGTTTCGGACTCGTTCCTGACACTGCTGTACCATTATTAGCTCCCACTTATATTCGCTCCAGAAGTTTCTTACAGAAAAAATCGCATGGAACCGGCACCGACTGGCGAACCATGGAAAGAAGTTAACTCTCTTCGTGATTTAGTTCTGAGCGATTGTGATCTGTCGTCTGAATCTGTAAGTTTTCTTATGTGAATTTTCTCCAGCCAAA